CCTCTTCCGCTACCTTCTCGTCCTCTTCCTCCTCTTCCTCTTCCTCCTCTTCCTCCTCCACCTCCTCCTCCTCATGCACCCTGCCTGCCTTAGGCCTCTGACACGCATGGCAGCCAGTACTCATTATTGGCACAGCTCATTTTCATAGTCAATTAAATCCTGACTTATTGCACTTCGATGCCTCTCTCCCATCTGACAATGATAAATCAGTGAAGGTTCGTGGCTCTATACACATCGATTATTGACTACAGGCTGCACTCTGAGCAATGAGCACTCGACCAAATATAGTTTTTCTGTACTGCCATCCAGACACATACTGTTTAATGTATACACACTGCTGAGCCAAACCAAGCCAATAATAGTAATAATAATAAGCTGAGCTGTACTGGGCAGGCCTGGTTACACATCCATCATAGTTGCTGGAACAGGGCTGGAAAGGAGAATGTGAAAAGGAACTATCCGAGCCAGCACTGTATGTCTGATTGGCCCTATAGTGTAAATCAATTATCTATAAAAAGATATTCCCCAGCCAGCTCATTCCGGTTCAGGTCGGCCTTATAGTGTAAATCAGGCATTCCAGTTCTCTATAAAGCTGGTGCTGGTTTACAGTAGCCTCTCTCTGTGGAATGACCGATTCTACACAAGGCTGCTCTTACACTGATTGTTGACACGGTGCTACTGGAATAAACAGACTAATCAGCCCAATAGCAAGGCCCTGTTATTCTGCTACAGACAGCACTTATGAAATAACTACAAGTGCTTATCGATCGTGGCCTGTATCAAACGTCTCTCCCTGTTAACCAGTCTGTCTCAATTGCGGACGGTGTGGTGGCTTAAAAGGTACTCCAATCACTTTACTGTAACAGTTGAGGTGCTTAACTGTCACTTTAGTTTCAGCTCTGCCCAAATGGATTATGGGTAAACTATAGGCTTTGAATTTGATACAGTATGGATTGACAAGCCACAGTCGGTGTTGGTTGATGACAGTTATTAAAGGATGTTTAATTTGTCGGTCTAATGTTCAAAAGGTAATGGATAACTATTTGATTAATCATAGCTCAATCGTGCAATTATTATAATTATTATTCATCTGTACTTCGATCCCTGTAGTCTAATAAAGAAATCCCCAACCACCTATCTGGTCTGCTGCTCCTAGTTGAATGTACTAGACTAGAGAGAATGAGCAGCAATGTTTCTCTATATTTACTTGGATTTGGCATGGGAATTACTCTGCTTCTGTAATGAGTTTAGCTTTGATTTATTTTAAAAGAGCCACGAGTTAGAGATACAATTTTATTTCCCCTTAGTGAACACTCTGCTTTGCTGTGAATTAACCAAGATTTATATAACGCTTAGTATTAGTAAAATATATTAATTTAGTGTATTAGAATGTCCTCAACTGTCAAGTAATCAGATTATAGTCTGCAGCCGGTTTATTCATGTAGTTTGGGGTCTAGAATTTCAAAAAAAAATGTTTTCATTTTGGTCACATCAAAGATTGGCCGGGGGTAAATAGATAGATGGAATATGATTATCTCTCTGAATAAGCTTCAACAAGCAAAATGGAAAACTGTCCCTTTTTCCAATTCTGTTATGAGACGGTTTAAGTTGATAAGTTGCATAGTTATTCAGGACATTATGCAGACATCATGATTTGATGACTCAATTCCCGGAGCCCAGTAGTTTTGACCGGTGATTATCTTCATCGTTCACAGTAACCATGTTTCCATCCACAGTTTTTATGCAAGTAAAGTCAAACCGTATTTAAAAAATCACGACAGTTGTGATGGAAACAGGAAGTTTCGGTACAATTTGATAAATGCAGACAGATAATTTGTCTGTTCGACATGGCGGACTCTTTTTGTGTCTGTAAAATGTATTATGCGAGAAATGGCGGTGGAAACGCCTTTATGCGCAAATATAAATATAATAACCATCATATCGAAGCAAACTTGGAGTCACGTGATTATATGGTGTGTGGTCCTCCTACTACGACTCGGGAAAGCATGCAGTTTATAAAGCTACAAATGCTTCATGCTCCTTTCCAATAAATATTGAGGGTCTTATTCTGGTGACATTATGATCGATGCTTGACTGCCGTTTGACAAATACAAATATTCTTGCTCTTATCCATAATAATCTCACCAAGTAAACTAGCCTAGAACCCTTTCTACAGAGGGTTCTACATGAAACCCAAAAGGGTTCTCCCATGGGAACAGCCGAAGAACCCTTTTGGAACCCTTTTTTCTAAGAGTGTATCAGTGTGAAATGTAGTCTCTCATGGGGACACAGAAAGTAGCTATCAGTGTCATTGACTATTCATAGCTTTCACTTAAATTGCCAATACACACAGACACACGCACACATATTCTCCAACTTCACAGTCACACACACACAACCCCCTCACCCCCTAACACCCACCCATTCCAAAGGAATCTTATTAATCAGCTAGCACATTGAACAGGAGTCACATGGTAAGTGGCTCTCGCTACTTAATTAGTTTTATTCTAGCGTCCAGTATCGTCTGGAGCCAAAGCTCCTGCTCTTTACTAAGTGGCTCTCCCGAGTGGCGCAGCGGTCTAAGGCACTGCATCACAGTGCTAGAGGTGTCACTACAGACCCTGGTTTGATTCCTGGCTGTATCACAATCCGGCCGTGATTGGGAGTCCCACAATTGGCCCAGAGTCGTTTGGCTGGGGTAGGTCGTCATTGTAAATAAGAATTTGTTTTTAACTGACTTGCCTAGTTAAATAAAGGTTAAATTAAAAATCAAAATTAAAATATTACACAAAGCTGGCTTCCTCTCCTCTGTCTACTATGTCAACTGGGCTGTATTCATTAGTGCACACAGTAGCAAACCATATCAAGAGTTTCTTATTGGACAAATAAAGGTCCCTCCCCGTTTCGTCCTTTTGGCTTCCGTTTGTTTCCCAGTGAATACATCCCTGTTCATGCCTGGGAGAAGAAGAAGTAGAACTATCTATCAGACTTGGGTTCAAATACTATTTGAAATCTTTCACATACATTGAGTGTTTGCTTTAGCCTGTCTGGAGAGCCAGGTGGGCGGGGTTTGTATTTTTGAGATGTCGGTGCCTGGTTGTGCCAGGGATAGGGATTGGTACAAATAGCCCACTGTGTTATTCCTGATAATTAATGCACAGTGAAACAGTTCCCACAATCAATGAATGTTAATGGTGCTTCAGCCTGTCTATATATACGGGAAGAGAGAGGGAGAGACTAGAGCCAGGCGGTGATTCCCTATATAGTGATTCCCTACATACAGTTGGCGCTACTTTTGATCAGAGCCCTATGGGGAATAGGGTACCATTTGAAGCGCAGACCAGTTGAGGAATGCTCTAGCTAGCTCCATTATTTTATAGGATTAGCCTACCCATTGTATTTTTAGCAGCATGCTACACTTTCAATGTATTTGGTGCGTGATAGATGACCTTAATATATTACTCAGTAGTTTGTTATGATGAATGATCAGTGACTGATTTTGATTTGTGTTGGCATGACACTGCAAGGTAGCTGGGTTTTTTTATTTTAATTTTATTTCACCTTTATTTAACCAGGTAAGCCAGTTGAGAACAAGTTCTCATTTACAACTGCAACCTGGCCAAGATAAAGCAAAGCAGTGCGATAAAAACAACAACACAGAGTTACATATGGGGTAAAACAAAACATAAAGTCAAAAAATACAACAGAAAATATATATACAGTGTGTGCAAATGTAGCAAGTTATGGAGGTAAGGCAATGAATAGGCTATAGGGCAAAATAATTACAATTAGTATTAACACTGGAATGATAGATGTGCAAGAGACTATGTGCAAATAGAGATACTGCGGTGCAAATGAGCAAAATAAATAACAATATAGGGATGAGGTAGTTGGGTGGGCTAATTTCAGATGGGCTGTGTACAGGTGCAGTGATCGGTAAGGTGCTCTGACAACTGATGCTTAAAGTTAGTGAGGGAGATAAGAGTCTCCAGCAATTCGTTCCAGTCATTGGCAGCAGAGAACTGGAAGGAATGGCGGCCAAAGGAGGTGTTGGCTTTGGGGAAGACCAGTGAGATATACCTGCTTGAGCGCATACAACGGGTGGGTGTTGCTATGGTGACCAATTAGCTAAGATAAGGCGGGGATTTGCCTAGCAGTGATTTATAGATGGCCTGGAGCCAGTGGGTTTGACGACGAACATGTAATGAGGACCAGCCAACAAGAGCGTACAGGTCACAGTGGTGGGTAGTGTATGGGGCTTTGGAGACAAAACGGATGGCACTGTGATAGACTACATCCAATTTGCTGAGTAGAGTGTTGGAGGCTATTTTGTAAATGACATCGCCGAAGTCAAGGATCGGTAGGATAGTGAGTTTTACGAGGGCATGTTTGGCAGCATGAGTGAAGGAGGCTTTGTTGCGAAATAGGAAGCCGATTCTGGATTTAACTTTGGATTGGAGATTCTTAATTTGAGTCTGGAAGGAGAGTTTACAGTCTAACCAGACACCTAGGTATTTGTAGTTGTCCACATACTCTAGGTCAGATCCGTCGAGAGTAGTGATTCTAGTCGGGTGGGCGGGTGCCAGCAGCGTTCGATTGAAGAGCATGCATTTAGTTTTACTAGTGTTTAAGAGCAGTTGGAGGCTACTGAAGGAGTGTTGTATGGCATTGAAGCTCGTTTGGAGGTTTGTTAACACAGTGTCCAATGAAGGGCCAGATGTATACAAAATGATGTCGTCTGTGTAGAGGTGGATCTGAGAGTCACCAGCAGCAAGAGCGACATCATTGATATACACGGAGAAAAGAGTCGGCCCAAGAATTGAACCCTGTGGCACCACCATAGAAACTGCCATAGGTCCAGACAACAGGCCCTCCGATTTGACACATTGAACTCTATCTGAGAAGTAGTTGGTGAACCAGGCGAGGCAGTCATTTGAAAAACCAAGGCTATTTAGTCTGACAATAAGAATGCGGTGGTTGACAGAGTCGAAAGCCTTGGCCAGGTCGATGAAGACGGCTGCACAGTACTGTCTATTATCGATTGCGGTTATAATATCGTTTAGGACCTTGAGCGTGGCTGAAGTGCACCCATGACCAGCTTGGAAACCGGATTGCATAGCGGAGAAGGTACGGTGGGATTCGAAATGGTCGGTGATCTGTTTGTTAACTTGGCTTTCAAAAACTTTCGAAGGGCAGGGCAGGATGGATATACGTCTGTAACAGTTTGGATCTAGAGTGTCACCCCCTTTGAAGAGGGGGATGACCGCGGCAGCTTTCCAATCTCTGGGGATCTCAGACGTAATAGGGGTTGCGACAATTTCGGCGGCTAGTTTTAGAGAGAAAGGGTCCAGATTGTCTAGCCCAGCTGATTTGTAGGGGTCCAGATTGTGCAGCTCTTTCAGAACATCAGCTGTCTGAATTTGTGTGAAGGAGAAGCGGGGGGGGCATGGGCAAGTTGCAGCGGAGGGTGCAGAGCTGGTGGCCGGGGTAGTGGTAGCCAGGTGGAACGCATGGCCAGCCATAGCAAAATGCTTGTTGAAATTCTCGATTATTGTAGATTTATCGGTGGTGATAGTGTTTCCTAGCCTCAGTGCAGTGGGTGTGGTCTGGCTCTGCAGTCCTGAAAGATGTTGGCTGTAAGATTCAATGGTAATACGGTAATATTTCCCCTTGCCTTGATAATATTTCCCCTTACCTTATTTATTCCCGTCATTAGCAGCGATTCTTCAGATTGTGTGTGTGTGTCTGTGTGTGTGTCTGTGTGTGTGTGTGTGTGTGTGTGTGTGTGTGTGTGTGTGTGTGTGTGTGTGTGTGTGTGTGTGTGTGTGTGTGTGTGTGTGTGTGTGTGTGTGTGTGTGTGTGTGTGTGTGTGTGTGTGTGTGTGTGTGAGTGAGTGTGTGTGGGGTGATGTGCTTTACATTACTGTTGAGTTTAGCAGATACTCACGCTCAAACCATCAAAAGGAATAACCAATAATTATTCATTTAATTCCATGTTTGATAGTGCCAGTGCAGTAAGTGCTTAGCAAAAAAAGAACATTACTACTGTTACATTACTGTTGAAATGTTCCTTACACCTTTTTTTCTTCCTTCTTCTTCTTCCTTCTTCCTCCTTCTTCCTCTTTCTTCCTCCTTCTTCCTCCTTCTTCCTCCTTCTTCCTGCTTCTTCCTCCTCCTTCATGCTTCTTCCTCCTTCCTCCTCCTTCTTCCTTCTCCTCCTTCTTCCTGCTTCTTCCTCCTTCTTCCTGCTTCTTCCTCCTTCTTCCTCCTTCTTCCTCCTTCTTCCTCCTTCTTCTTCCTCCTTCTTCCTCCTCCTTCCTCTTCTAGCGTACCAACTGAGGATCTGCCAAGCGCCCCCTGAGGTCGCCAACGCTGATATCCTCATGGAGGACGGGGAGCTTGAAATAGGTAACGCGTCCAATATTATCCCTTTTTCGAATGGATCGTTTTGGGAGAGATTGGACGTCCTCACCACTCTTCATACTTAGGACCAGGAGGTTTTCCTAACCACCTGACCTGACCAGGAACAACTCTGGTGTTGTTAGTTATAACTATGACCTGGAGTTTTTCCTGGTGGTCCTCTGTAGCTCAATTGGTAGAGCATGGCGCTTGTAACGTCAGGGTAGTGGGTTCGATCCCCGGGACCACCCATACGTAAAAATGTATGCACACATGTCTGTAAGTCGCTTTGGATAAAAGCGTCTGCTAAATGGCATATTATTATTATAGATCACGTTGTCAAGAATACTCCTGGGCCTGTATTCATAAAGTGTCTCAGAGTGTCTCGATTCAATCTGTGTCGCTGAAGCGTGTGATCGAAATGTAAATTCAAAGATTTAGCCGACGTATGCAGCTTTTAATGTAGATGCAGTCTCCGCTAACACGCAACATTACATTTAAATTTCAATCACGCTGTAACATTGAACTTCAGTGATGCAGATTGAATCGAGCCCCTAATCGAGGATCAGTTTAGCATTTTAGCTCATAATGAATAAAGATCATATGGACGGGGGGGGATCTGATCCTAGATCAGCTACTCCTACTCTGAGATGCTTTGTGAGTATGGCCTTGCTTCATCCGCTGAAACTAGGAAACTGAAACCCTTACACCAGTGCCATGTCTCTGTGTTTCACAACATCCCCCATGTCAGTCTCACCTCTGGTACAGTAAACATGCTGATGTAGAATGTTCGCAGAGAATATTGATCATGGCTTAGAGAAGAGAGGGCAAGCCTCCTCCTGTATGTGTGACCCCCACTAATACCATGGATGGACTCACACACGCACACACACGCACGCACCCACACACACACACACACACACACACAGACACACACACTCACAGACACCGTGCCAGGACACACACATGCATGCACGCACGCGGACGCACACACCCTGCTAGACACACAGGGTTATTTCTGCTGTGCCGTGGTATCAATGGTGAGTTAGCAACTAGCTCTGTGATTGGTGGGTATCAATGAGTGAGTTAGCAACTAGCTCTGTGATTGGTGGGTATCAATGAGTGAGTTAGCAACTAGCTCTGTGATTGGTGGGTATCAATGAGTGAGTTAGCAACTAGATCTGTGACTGGTGGGTGTGAAAGTGGGTGATCACAGTGGCTGAGATGGATTCACCTTGCCCGTTAACATGGCCCAAAGGCTGTCGTGTGTGTGTGTGTGTGCTGTAGTAGCCCTGTATGGAATACTAAGACCACTATCATCCATCATCATCTGTAACATGGCCCTCTGCTACTTTTTAAAGATATCAGATGGCTTCTAAAAAGACTAGAATGTTACAGTAGATGATGGTGATGATGGTGATGATGATGATCTTCAACACCATTTATTCTTGGTTATCTGTGTTCCATTGCACTAACATTAATACTACTGCAATACTTATGCTTCAGGGACCATGGTTTATTTTGCATTATAAACTGGGTGGTTCGAGCCCTGAATGCTGATTGTCTGAAAGCCGTGGTATACCACGGGTATGACAAAACATTTATTTTTACTACTCTAATTACGTTGGTAACCAGTTTATAATAGCAATAAGGCACCTCGGGGGTTCGTGTTATATGGCCAATATACCACAGCTAAGGGCTGTATCCAGGCATTCCGCGTTACGTCGTCCCTAAGAACATCCCTTAGCCGTGGTATATTGACCATATACCACACCTCCTCAGGCCTTATTGCTTAATTATAAACTGGGTGGTTCGACCCCTGAATGCTGATTGGCTGAAAGCCGTATACCACAGGTATGACAAAACATTACTTTTTACTGTTCTAATTACGTTTGTAACCAGTTTATAAAGCAATAAGGCACCTCAGGGGTTTGTGGTATATGGCCAATATACCACAGCTATGGGCTGTATCCAGGCACTCCTCATTGCGTCGTGCTAAGAACAGCCCTTAGCCGTGGTATATTGGCCATATACCACACCCCCCCGTGCCTTATTGCTTAATTATAAAGTGTCCTACCCAGGCTAGAACTCACTCATCAACAGTGTTCAACCTAGGATGTTTGATAATATCACCCCATCCGTCTCAGGCATCTGCTGTCCTTCTTAATTAAACAACTGCTTCATCTGAGTGCATCTACACTCTTCGGAAAAAGGTTGCCAAAACGGTTCTTCGGTTGTCCCCATAGGATTACAATTTTTGATTCCATGGAACTCAAAAGAGTTCTACCTGGAACCAAAAGGGTTTTACCTGAAACCAAAAAGGGTTCTTCAAAGGGTTCTCCTATGGGGACAGCCGAAGAACCCTTTTAGGTTCTAGATAGCTAGAAGTCTCCTCTTCTTTTTCCAAACTCCTCCTTACAGGGAACATCATCCGGTACCGCTGCCATCCTGGCTTCACCCTGGTCGGGAGTGAGATCCTGACATGCAGGCTGGGGGAGAGACTTCAGATGGATGGGCCTTCTCCCACATGTCAAGGTATGTGTGTGTGAGCGTGTGCATGCGTGTGTGCTTTCATTCCTGCGCGTATGTGTGCGAGTGCGTGCATGCCTGCGAGTGTGTGTTCGTGTGTGTGTGCATGTGTGCACTCTTGCATGTGTGTGTGGCAGCTGTAATTAAAATGGTTTAGTCATTAGATGTTGTGCTGCTGTGATGCGTTCTGCCCAGCTCTGTCACAGCCCCTCGTGTTTCCTGTCTTCTGTTCCAGTTATGTTTCGGTGTCGTCCCTCTCACTTTGTTTAGTGGCCTAAACAGCTGTTGTCATTAATCTTTTATGGTGCCATATTTCTCTCCGGGATTCCATTGGTGGGACTCACTTTGTCAGGATTTGTCCTGATAATCTACCTGAAAAATATGTTAAACCTGGAAAATTGATGCGTCATGGCATCATTCACAGCTTGCGTCCCAAATGGCACCCTATTCCCTACATAGTGCATTACTTTTGACCAGGGCTCTAGTCAAAAGTAGTGCACTATGTAGGAAATAGGGTGCCATTTGGAAGGCAGTCACAGTATTTTGCAACCGGAACTGGAACTCGATCAAAATCAACTCCCAGGCATGTGTTAAAAATAGAATGAAGTAGAGCTGAAAGTTTTCACATAACTTTGACATTAATATACAGAAATATATTGTCTGTGGAACAAATAAGGAGAACCAGTAAAGTAAGGGGTGGTTTTTTTCTTGGCATAATGTAACCTCTCCTTTTATTGTTTTGCTTCCTGGCCGAATGTGTTTAATTAGTTTAGTGAGTACTGTCTCTTGGGTAACCACTGAATAAATTACATGTACCGAAAGTTACCGAACGCACCGCTAACATACATTTTGTCTGCTGTTATGTGCCCATCCAGTGCAATGCCCGGCACACGATGTGAGGTTTGACTCTACTGGTGTAATCCTGAGTCCAGGCTACCCTGACAGCTACCCCAACCTGCAGATGTGTATCTGGACCATCAATGTAGAGAAGGGCTACAACATCACCCTGTACTTCGAGTCCTTCCAGACCGAGAGGGAGTTCGACATCCTAGAAGTCTTTGATGGTGGCTACAGCAGCATTACACTAGCCTGGTCCCAGAACTCATTACAGCACGAACAGATCTGGGACCAGGCTAGCATTGCACACTGTGATGTTTTTAAACCACTTCTGCTTTTTGCTCAGATTTGCATTGTATTGAAACTGTCTACTTGAGCTGCAGTGGCATTGTAAATGTAATCATCAGTGAATTGACTTTGGAGAAATTGGGAATGAAACGGCTGGAAGTGTCAGTATTGAATGCAAGGCCTACAGAACTTTGTATGACCTCCCTTTGAATGAATGCAACAACATTAATGTGAAGCAACCACAACACCACTGAACAGATTTAGATTAATACTGAAATGTCTAAAAAGCCTTTGTGATGAACAATGTTCAGCCCCTCTTCTCACAGCTAAAGATTAAATATGCTAAAATTTGAATAGTTCACCTAATTTCAGTTTATGTGACAAAACAAGCAAGTATAGTGTGGAGAACCATTGTACCATCTAAAGCGCTGTGTAATATATTTTTTATAACCAAACATATTGTGTTTTCAGCTGTTTGAAGCTGGTGTACAAAACTGAAAGTAAAAGAAGCAAGAACTAAGCTTAAGAACGGGAAGCATAGAAATAGTGCACATAGAACAGATCTACCACTTCTTAGACTTGCTTTCAATGAGAATGACAGATTTATAACACACATTTATGTGAATTTAGTCAGGTCGCCCAAAAAAGTTACATAGTGCAGCTTTAATACAATGTTCTGGGTCATTACTGTAGCTATAATTCTTTCATAGCCTTGTAAATACATGCACCATTCTCACATAATCTGCCTTATTGTTAGCGTCCTCTCTTTCCTCCCTCTCTCTCTCTCTCTCCCCCCTCTCTCTCTCTCTCTCTCTCTCTCTCCCCCTCTCTCTCTCTCTCTCCTCTCTCTCTCTCTCTCTCTCTCTCTCTCTCTCTCTCTCTCTCTCTCTCTCTCTCTCTCTCTCTCTCTCTCTCTCTCTCTCTCTCTCCTCTCTCTCTCTCTCTCTCTCTACAGGCCCAAGTACTAACAGTCAGACTCTGGCCACCTTCAGCGGTGACGTCCCTGCGCCCTTCAATATCACTACGACCGGCCACCAGCTCACACTGCGCTGGTCCTCCGACCACGGCACCAACAAGAAGGGCTTCCGGATCCGCTATGTTGGTGAGTATCAAAGTATGTATCCATTTAAATCACTCTTATTCACTTGCACGTTTGTGTCTTTTAAGAGTGAGAAATGCGGAGTGTGTGTGTGTGTGTGTGCGTGTGTGTATGTGTGTGTATGTGTGTGTGCGTGTGTGTGTGTGTGTGTGTGTGTGTGCGTGTGTGTATGCGTGTGTATGTGTGTGTGTATGTGTGTGTGTGTATGTGTGTGTGTGTGTGTGGGAGAATAATAACAAAGTAGCTACTCTAAAAACTTGCATGTGGGATATTGTGGTTGTACTCAATATTTTTGTATTCAATATTTGTCTGTCTTTCCATGAGGTATTGAAAAATAAACAATTTACAGTATTGATGCATTTAAATACACTGTCAGGGTGGTCAGCCCATTGCTGAGGTTCAGAGACCAGCACAGTAAATAGATTGTGCTCTAAGCTATGCGCTCATTCTCTGACTGGCTAAAACCATGGGCCTAGTGTTGCTTCCCCATGTCTTGGTGCTACTACAGATGTCAGTGGAGATGTCAGTCGGGGCCTGGGGACCCTAAACAACCACAGAGCTGGGTCACACTTTGCTGACTCACCAGAGCAGGCAGGCGGGCCGGGGACAGAAAGTGCCTGACCAGGTCAAGTGTTGGTCAGAGCTGTGACAGCCAGTCTGTCCCTACTGGCCCTGAGTGAGACACAGCTTTGTCTCAGACTACACAGCTTTTTCCAAATGTGACAACAGACACTACGCTAAGACCCCCAAGGCACAAAACACCTATGGTCTCCCCAGACTGCGATGCCGATGGCGATAACACCATGTGAAAAGCTAAAGGAGTAGTAGTAAGACAGCACACTGCAGTATTAGGACTAGACTGCAGTATTAGGACTAGACTGCAGTATTAGGACTAGACTGCAGTAATAGGACTAGACTGCAGTATTAGAACCATACTGCAGTATTAGGACTAGACTGCAGTATTAGGACTAGACTGCAGTATTAGGACCATAATGCAGTATTAGGACCAGACTGCAGTATTAGGACCAGACTACAGTATTAGGACTAGACTCCAGTATTAGGACTAGACTGCAGTTTTAGGACCAGACTACAGTATCAGGACTAGACTGCAGTATTAGGACTAGACTGCAGTATTAGGACCAGACTGCAGTATTAGGACTAGACTGCAGTATTAGGACTAGACTGCAGTATTAGGACTAGACTGCAGTATTAGGACTAGACTACAGTATTAGGACTATACTGCAGTATTAGGACTAGACTGCAGTATTAGGACTAGACTGCAGTATTAGGACTAGACTGCAGTATTAGGACCAGACTACAGTATTAGGACTAGAGTGCAGTATTAGGACCAGACTACAGTATTAGGACAATAATGCAGTATTAGGACTAGACTGCAGTATTAGGACTATAGCTTGTGAGGAACAACAAGACTAAGTCTAGGGAAGTCCGAACAAGCCCAGGGTAGGGACGTGGCTGCAAGGCCATACCAATGATTCTTATAGAGGTTTTCTATGTAGCCATGCTGTATGTTTTGTGATAGAGTAGCCATAGCAACATCCCTTTTCATCCCAACTTCCATTATCTAAATCTATTCATCTCTTCAGGAAGATACCTAAACTGATTTTCTACAGAAAGGCAATCTCAATTTTTATCAGAGAAACAGATTGAAAATCACAATCATTATTTGCTTTTTGGTGTTAGCGAAGCATCAATAGTTTGGTCTAGCCTAACACTCTGTATTTATTTTGTTTTCACATTAGAATATGTTGTTCTTGAGCTGCCTCATCGTGTTTGTTCTGCTGTGTATAACCCAGTTACATTTCTGAGACTTTTTCCAAATAATAACGGCTGTTGTGCAAATGACTCCCTGCCTCAGAGATTGCTGGTATCTCATAACATGGAGTCATGCAGCTGAGGGAACTAGTAATTCGGCACTCAGTATGTGCGTCAGGAGATTTGCTGGGGGATAACTTCCTCGCTTGTTTAAGTATGCAAGATATTTGTAGTAAATCTGCTTTGAAGTGTTGTGATCGAGCTAGAGTTTAGCATCTCTCTCTCTCTCTTCCTCTCCCTTTTCCTCTCCCTCTTCCTCACAAAATCTCAGTCTTTCTATTCTGCATCCTCTCCTCCATAACTCTCTGTCTCAGATCCCATTTCTTTCTTCTTTAGCTCCCTCGCTATCTCTCTCTGTCTTTCTGTCTCTCTCTCTCTCTCTCTCTCTCTCTCTCTCTCTCTCTCTCTCTCTCTCTCTCTCTCTCTCTCTCTCTCTCTCTCTCTCTCTCTCTCTCTCTCTCTCTCTCTCTCTCTCTCTCTCTTCCTCTCTCACTCTCTCTCACTGTCTTTCTCTCTCTCTGTAAGCATGCTTTTCCTCTTCTATAATCTTCCTCAGTGAGATAATATAACAGAGTTGCTTTCTGCTCTGCATTCAATATGTTTACATTTCCATACTACATACTAGGCAGGTAGCCTAGCGGTTAGAGCATGGGGCCAATAACTGCAAGGTTTCGGGTTCAAATACCTGAGCTGACAAGGTGAAAAATCTGTCTGTGCCCCTGAGCAAGGTACTTAGCCCAAATTTGCTCCAGGAGCACCGTACTACTATGGCTGACCCTGTAAAACATCACATTTCACTGCAGCTATCTGGTGTATGTGACAATAAAAAAGTGTTTTTGGTGCTACCCCCTTACCATTGTTCACACACAATCAGACAAGTGCTTTAACTGTAGCTGTGTGCTCAGTGGTAGTTTAAATATGTATCTGAATTAATAAGGCATATACCTGAAAGTCAGAACTTGCTCTGTGAACTAGAATTGACACTCCCGGATGTAGGTTGACTTTGCCCGTCCACTGTAGTTATGAAAGTCACAAGTTGAGGTACATGCTTGGCCTTGTTATTTAGACTGCTCAGTTGAAGGAAATCAGAATGATTCCCCTGCCATTTCTCCTTGATTCCTTTATTGATTTAGACAGGAGGGGAACGGAGGGCGAGCAGAGCACTTTATAGTGCATTTAGATGGTAATCAAATGTAGAAGAGATATCATGTTAGCTGGTGAACCTTTCAAACTCTTAATGTTTTTAAAGTTAGCCATTCTTTCCTAGTTTCTAGGTTAATACTATCCTGGATACCAGTCTGTTTGTGCCATCATGCCACTCCTTTTCATGCAAAAACAAGGAGTGACATGATGGTACAAACAGACTGGTACCCAGGCTAGATCAAAACCATTTTTTTAAACAAAAACAACATAGAGCATAAAATGGAGGTCAGGAGGGTTTTTTCTCACGAGGAGAAATCTTTCCTTTTAGTCCTCCAGGACATAGGACACCAACACACCTAGAATTAACCCTGTGTTGTGCTGACTTTGTAATTACTGTATGTACGTGTATGCTGAGTGTGATGTGTGTCTCACGCCTGCCCACTGATTTGGTGTGACACAGTCCCCGTCCCCATCTTCCTGTGCGTGCAGGGCTCAGGGCCAAGTGTCAACGCAGGAAGAAGCTGCACTGCATGCTTTTACATAACTACACTGAACTGAACTGTGAAAAATGTTGAAATGTGTTAATGCCAGAAAGAGTGATATTGATGTAACTGTATAAATACACACTACCGTTCAAAAGTTTGGGGTCACTTAGAAATGTCCTTGTTTTCGAAAGAAAATTAATATTTTTGTCCATTAAAACAACATCAAATTGATCAGAAATACAGTGTAGACATTGTTAATGTTGTAAATGGCTATTGTAGCTGGAAACGGCTGATTTTTTATGGAATATCTACATAGGCGTACAGAGGCCCATTATCAGCAACCATCAGTCCTGTGTTCCAATGGCACGTTGTGTTTGATAATCCAAGTTTATCATTTTAAAAGGCTAATTGATCATTAGAAAACCCTTTTGCAATTATGTTAGCACAGCTGAAAACTTTTGTGCTGATTAAATAAGCAATAAAACTGGCCTTCTTGAGACTAGTTGAGTATCTGGAGCATCAGCAATTGTGGGTTCGATTACAAGCTCAAAATGGCCAGAAACAAATAACTTTCTTCTGAAACTCGTCAGTCTATTCTTGTTCTGAGAAATGAAGGCTATTCCATGTGGGAAATTGCCAAGAAACTGAAGATCTCATACAACGCTGTGTGCTACTCCCTTCACAGAACAGCGCAAACTGGCGCTGGGAGGCCCCGGTGCACAACTGAGCAAGAGGACAAATACATTAGTGTCTAGTTTGAGAAACAGACGCCTTACAGGTCTTCAACTGGCAGCTTCATTAAGTAGTACCCGCAAAACACCAGTCTCAACGTCAACAGTGAAGAGGCGACTCCGGGATGCTGACCTTCTAGGCAGAGTTGCAAAGAAAAATCCATATCTCAGACTGGCCAATAAAAATAAAAGATTAAGATGGGCAAAAGAACACAGACACTGGACAGAGGAAGATTAGAAAAAAGTGTTATGGACAGACGAATCGAAGTTTGAGATGTTCATATCACAAAGAATAACATTTGTGAGACGCAGATCAAATGAAAAGATGCTGGAGGAGTGCTTGATGCCATCTGTCAGGCATGGTGGAGGCAATGTGATGGTCTGGGGGTGCTTTGGTGGTGGTAAAGTGGGAGATTTGTACAGGGTAAAAGGGATTTTGCTATATTTCCTATTCAAACTCATTTCATGTATTTTTTCACCACCAAAGCACCCCCAGACCTTCACATTGCCTCCACCATGCTTGACAGATCAGATGGCATCAAGCACTCCTCCAGCATCTTTTCAGTATGAAAAAATTTATGCACTCACTAACTGTAAGTCGCTCTGGAAAAGAGTGTCTGCTAAATGACTAAAATGTAAATGTAAAATGTAAAACAAGGACATTTCTAAGTGACCCCAAAACTTTTGAACGGTAGTGTATATTGTACATACTGTACATATACTGCATATGTGTGGGGAAATTACAGTATATAAAACATTTACAAATTAATGCCTATATAGCCTCACTGGTAGGATATATATCAAGTAAAAACATTCACCCACATTTAGTTGAAATAATATAAAGATTATCTGTGTTGTTAATAATGAGTAACAGTATTACTTAGTAGCTAGCTATAGTCAGAGCCTTATAGATGTATGTATTACAGTAATACAGCTCTGGTTATAGCCACCAGGTTACTGAGCTAGTGAGTTGACCTGTGTGTGTGTGTTTGTTTGTCTCTCTCTCCGTCTCCCTCCCTCCCCTGCTCGCTCGCTCCCTCACTCTCTCTCTCTCTCTCTCTCTCTCTCTCTCTCTCTCTCTCTCTCTCTCTCTATCTCTCTCTCTCTCTCTCTCTCTCTCTCTCTCTCTCTCTCTCTCTCTCTCTCTCTCTCCCTCCCTCTCTCCCTCCAGCCCTGTACTGCAGCACCCCAGACTCGCCCCTGCAGGGGTCCATCAGTAGCCAGACGGGTGGTCACCTCAACAGCCTGGTCCGCTGGGCCTGTGACCGGGGATACCGCCTCATAGGGAACAGTACGGCCGTGTGCAGGAGGAACCCCTATGGATACTTTGACTGGGACTCCACCGTACCCGCCTGCCAAGGTGAGATCTCGGCCCATATTGATAAAACGTTTCAGACTAGGAGTGCTGATCTAGGATTAGTCTTGCTTTTTAAGATCATAATGAATAAGATTAGATGGACAGGAGAGACCTGATCCTAGATCCTAGATGTGCTCAATACTATATTACTATTTTGCAATTTTCCAGGAATCCTGTTGTATGTACTTAGTGTATCACATGGATTTCCATTTCTATAATAATTACTAACACTTATCTACCTCGACTTAGCTTTTTCTACATGAAATGTCAAACAAATTTAACACATGAAAAGAGCCATCATAGAAATACATTTCCCCATCAATGTCTTTAAAACCGTCACCAACTGGAGTTTACTCACCTCAGTGTCACCTCTCATTCTGGAAAAGCTATTTTCAGAAGCTTTTATCCTGTTAAAAGCCAGGTTTTAACAGGAAAACCCAGCTTTCTAAAGCTCCACTCAGTGATTTAATGTGATTTGATGCATGCCACCTTACCGTCTGGCGCCAGAGGCTGGAGTGACACTAACATACAGTGACACACATAATATGACTACATAAACTTCAGAAGTGTGTCAGAGCACTTCACCCTGGTCTGTTGACCTAAAATGAGACAACCGGGAGTCATTGTTCACCATCATCTAAGAGCACTGGTCCAGGAAATTAGAAAATTAGGGTCTTACGGTGTCCATATTAGGAAAATCTCAGCAGGACTTTTTTCATCTTGATATGTCTTCATATGGACACCATGCGGTCTTAATGACAATGTTTTTACACTGACAAGAAGTGCAAATATTTGATAGTGGATCTACTGTATATCCAAATATAGCAATTGTAGTTAGTAATTGCGATTGTATGTGCGATTTTTGCAATGTAAGACAATGCATCGAGACAGATGGTAACCTTCGGGTGCTTCCCAAATGGCACCATATTCCCTGTATACCTCACTACTTTTGACCAAAGCCCTATGGCCCTGGTTTAAAAGTATTGCACTATAAAGGCCAAGGAATATGCTGCTATTTGAGAAGCAGCCTCCATCTTATTCCAAACTGATTGGAGAGAAAGAAATGGGTCTAATCATATTCCGTCAGCTAGTGGGTATGCTAAAATCTTAGATTAAAAATGATTTAATATTTTTTTGGCTGTAGGATTGAGACTTGCCAGAGAAAATAGCAAAGAGAAACAGAATAGTTTCATACCTTTCTGAGCAGAGAGCACACAAACACACGCTCATACACACACACACACACACACACACGCTCACACATACACGTTCACACACACACACGCTCACACACACGCTCATGCTCACACACACGCTCACACACACACGCTCACACACACACACACAAACAGACACACATGCTCTCACACACACACACACACACACTCACACACACACACACATACACACACACACACACGCTCACACACACACACACACGCACACACACGCTCACACACACACACACACACAGCATATATATAATTTCCTCAGATCCTCTCTTTGTGCTCACTTACTCATACACTTTATAATGATATTTCACTTCTCCAGCTTTTTTCACTACAATAGACCTATTGTTATACCAGGAGGAAACATTAACTTCCACCTCATTTAGAATGACTCCTGACATATACAGCCACATGTCCTGGTTTGTTTGTGTGTTTGGAAGAAAGTTAACACTCAAACCACTAAGCCCATCTTGATTTGTTGCTGGGTGTCACCGGCCCAAAAATCGACAAAAAACTAAATAAAGAAAAAACTAAAATAACTCCCGCACACGCAATTCCACCTCTGCTTGAAAGAGGACTTGTGTGAAGAGGTGGAATTGTGTGCGTGAGTTATTTTCGTTTTTCTACCTTGTTTGTGTGTTTGCTCACGCCAGCATTTTAGTTTGTATTTCTTTATCTCTGTCACTGCATGTGTTTTTCTCTCTCTCTCTGAGCGAAGATCACATTCTGTGAAAATCTTTTTGCAAATCAGTTCATATAAGATTGCTGTTTAAAGATTGAGTGGGCAATACTTTGTCAGTACATCGTCAGTGTGAGGTGAGTGAGCGGTGTGTTATTGTATGGAAGTTGTCTCAATGCGTCAGTGCTCATTGCCCTCTGTGTGTTAGAAGAATGAGCAGGAACAGACTCAGTATTTTTCATTATATGGTCTCTGTATGTTAGAAGAATGTGTGGGAGCAGAGTCAATGTTCCTCACTGTACTGTCTGTCTGTCTGTCTGTCATTAGTGGTATAGTCAGTGGGTCAACAGGTATGAATAGTGTTAGTGTCTGTTTTGTCATCAGCAGACCTTTGTGTGTGTTGAAACGGTGTGTGTTTATCTCTTTGTGTGTGTTGAAACAGTGTGTGTTTGTCTCTTTGTGTGAGTTGTTGTGTACTGTTGGTAGGTGTGTGTGTGAGATTGAGTGTGTGTCTGTGTGTGAGACTGATCTGAGTATGTAGTGTGTGTAGGCAGGTATGTGTATTACACTGATTATGTAGTGTGTGATTTTGAGTGTATCTCTGTGTGTGAGACTGATTTGATTGCGTAGTATGATAACCCTGCGTCTCACCCTCTGGGTTTTTTATAAATGCTGATGCTCCTCCCCCCCCCCCCCCCCCCCCCCCCCCCCCCCCCCCCCCCCCCCCCCCAGCGGTGTCCTGCGGGGTGCCCAAGGCACCGGTGAACGGAGGAGTGCTGACGGTGGACTACTCGGTGGGCACGCGCGTGACCTACTTCTGCAACGACGGCTACCGCCTGTCCTCCAAAGAGCTGACCAGTGCCGTCTGCCAGCCTGACAGCACCTGGAGCAACCACAACAAGATCCCCCGTTGCTCAGGTAGGGTAGGAGGCTAGTGGGGGAGCATGTACGAGGGTTTGTGTGCCGATGCCCAGGTAGCTACCGTTAGGCTGGGAGGCTAGTCCAGCAGCTGGGACAGGTGAAGCAGGGGAAGAGAGTGTGTGTGTGTGTGTGTGTGTGTGTGTGTGTGTGTGTGTGTGCGTGCGTGTGTTTGCGTGTGTGTGTGTGTGTGTGTGTGTGTGCGTGTGTTTACGTGTGTGTGTGTGTGCGTTCACCTCACGGCTCCTCAGGAGGGCAATTACATCCCTCTTAAAATGAGTTCCTCCCTCGAAGGCAATCCCTCACTTATTTATGAATGGAGTAGTTTGTATTTTGTTATTGCCCATTAAGATGCCTGTTTAAAATGCCTGGCTGCCTCACAAAGCAGCGCAAATGGAGGTCACCTCAATAATAGAGAACTGTGTAAGAACAGATTTTCAGGTGAAATCTCTTAATATCTTCTCACTTTAAGTCTGCTAAAATACTCAAATGTTTTTATGTTTTATTTATGTATTGATTATTCTTGTGTGCGTGCGCGTGTGCGTGTGTGTGTGTGTGCATGCGTGCGTGTGTGTGTGTTTCTGTGTAACAGTGGTGGTGTGTCCAAGCATCGGCTCCTTCTCTCTGGAGCACGGGAGGTGGAGGATCGTGAACGGCTCCCACTATGAGTACAGGACCAAGATTATCTTCAGCTGTGACCCGGGCTACTACCGCCTAGGCCCCGCCCACATCCAGTGCACGGCCAATGGCGTGTGGAGTTGGAGGAACGAAAGGCCTCACTGCCAGAGTGAGTAGAGGGCGGCCATGTTCTTTTTTCCAACCGGGTACTTTTTACACCATCACAATGTCAGAAGCATATTGTGTTTAGGTTGTGTTTAGGCTGTTACAGTGTGCCTTAGCCGTATTACATGTTTATGTAATGATTATCATTTTGACAACCATTTTATTTTTTCACTTTACAACACATCAGAAGCATGTTATGTTTACAGTGTGCCCTAGGGAGTGTTGAACGTCTGTCTAACCTTGGGCAGAATCGTAGGATTGATATGTGATGTTATGACCCAAAATAGTCAATAATGAGATAAATAGGTGAGATAGTGACATCTCTGAGATAGAGATGTTAAAAGTACCTAGTAGGAGTAGCAGGTATGCCTAGAGTGGGGCTGTGGGAGGAATAGTGAATGTACTAGACTAGACCACATTGATTCTTCTGGTTTAAAAAAACAAACACCTCCAACCTCCCTTTACCTTCCGCTCCTACTCTCCTCTCCACTCCTCCCTTCCTCTCCACTCCTCCTCTCTCCCCTCCTTTCCTCCGATCTCAAGGATCCAAAAACAAAATAATATGACTCCCATTCACTTAAAAATACCACCCAGACAGTTGACAGATCAATTTAAAATTGACAGAAATTAGCTCCAATTGAATTACCATTTGAACTGTAAGGGCTCAGCCTGTGGTTTATTTATTAACCAAGAAGACAAATTGGTCTGTCAGCTGACTGATATCTCTCAGGTGTTTGTTAATGCCATTGGTCTGTCAGCTGGCTGATATCTCTCAGGTGTTTGTTAATGCCATTGGTCTGTCAGCTGGCTGATATATCTCAGGTGTTTGTTAATGCCATTGGTCTGTCAGCTGGCTGATATCTCTCAAGTGTTTGTTAATGCCATTGGTCTGTCAGCTGGCTGATATCTCTCAGGTGTTTGTTAATGCCATTGGTCTGTCAGCTGGCTGATATCTCTCAGGTGTTTGTTAATGCCATTGGTCTGTCAGCTGGCTGATGATGCCTTTGTTATTGTCTGGGCCACAGTCATTTCCTGTGGGGACCTCCCTGGCCCACCCAATGGGAAGAAGATTGGTACGCAGATGACCTTTGGGGCGACCGCCATCTTCATGTGCGACGCAGGTTTCATGCTGGTGGGCTCGACCGTGAGAGAATGCCTCTCCTCTGGACTGTGGAGCGGACAGGAGACCCGCTGCTTGGGTAAAACGACCAATTCATTCCCAACATTTCTGTTGTCTGTCTGTGTTTGTGTGAAACAACCATGGAACATTCTCCAGATGCTGTGTTCCTGTGAAATGCAGGCTATCTACTGCCCTAAGAATGTTTCAGTTGGTGTGGAGTTATTTTGGTCTTCACCCTCTAATGAACATATGTTTATTGTGGTAAATAGCTTGACTGTCTAACTTCTCTGTGTGCTGGTGCCAAGTCTGTGGAGGCAGGGAGAATTTTGGGCTTCTTTATTTTCTCTGAAACACGTCTGTGTACTGAAAATCTCTGCGAACTTTCTGTCTAAATGAGAATCTCTATCCTGTACCCTCTCTGTCTGTCTGTCTGTCTGTCCGTCAGAACATGACTGTTCAGTACAGTACAAGACTTCTCTCTCACATAGTAGATTATTCCTCTCTCTAGCTGCTCTGTGTCTGTTTCATTGAAAACACCATCTCTTTCTTTCTTTCTTTCTTTCTTTCTTTCTTTCTTTCTTTCTTTCTTTCTTTCTCTCTCTCTCTCTCTCTCTCTCTCTCTCTCTCTCTCTCTCTCTCTCTCTCTCTCTCTCTCTCTCTCTCTCTCTCTCTCTCTCTCTCTCTCTCTCTCGCTCTCCCCTTCTTCATCTCCCCCTCTCCCTTCTCCTCTCTCTAACTCTTTCCTTTGTGTTTCTCTCCAGCGGGCCACTGTGGTATTCCAGAGACCATAGTGAATGGTCAGGTGATTGGGGAGAACTTTGGCTACAGGGAGACGGTGGTGTACCAGTGCATCCCAGGCTTCCGCCTCATCGGCTCCTCGGTGCGGATCTGCCTGCAGGACCACAACTGGTCTGGACAGCTGCCTTCCTGCGTGTGTGAGTGTCCTCCTTCTCTCTCTCTCTTTACCTCTCTCTCTCTTTATATCTGTTTTTTTCCCTGTATGTATTTCACACTTTATATCTCTCTTCATCTCTCAAGTTCTCCCTTTTCTCTTACTCCTACCTTAGCTCTCCTTTTTCTCTGTCTCTCTCAACTTTCACTGTCGCACACAAACCTCCTGTCAAGTGCTTGGAGGAACTGCCTCAGAATATCCCGTCTCAGAACCCATCCCCAACTTTCAATACTTTTTATCAGTTTTCCAAGTAAGTCTTATAAGTAGCTGATTACTGAAGTCTGGATCACTTTTGTGTGGTTAATGAGTTGACAAATAATACTGTTTTAGAGTGGTAAGGGAAATAGGGAGGTGAAGTGGGGTTTGTGGACCTGCGTCACTAGACTGACGATTCCAGTGCCCCTTCTGAGATCTCCCTCTGAGATCTCCCTCTGAGATCTCCCTCAGTTCACAAAGAGCCCTGGCATTTCAAGTATTCTCATCATTCTCTCTGGACTCAGACAGAAGGAGCCTTCTCTGTCTTCCCAGGCTTTTTTAATTATAGGTCCAATAGCCGTTTTTATCTCAATATCAAATCATTTCTGGGTAACAATTAAGTACCTTACTGTGATTGTTTTAAATGAAAATGGTCAAAAAGAAACAAAAATAGCTTATTAGCAAAGAGTAATTTCTCAAGCAAGAATTGTGCTTGGACTGTCTGGGAGTGGTCTGAGTGGGGGAGGGGGAAACTGAAAACTGTCTGTTAATGTCAGAGAGGTTTCAAACTCTCTTTCTTATTGGTCTGTTAACTAATTGACTGCCTGGTGGTGTCACCAGGCAGGCCAAAACTCCATTGCCCATTCACCCTCTGAATGGCACACATACAATCCATGTCTCAATTGTCTCAAGGCTTAAAAATCCTTCTTTAACCTGTCTCCTCCCCTTCATCTACACTGATTGAAGTTGATTTAACAAGTGACATCAATAAGAGATCATAGCTTTCACCTGGATTCACCCGGTCAGTCTATATCATGGAAAGAACAGGTGTTCTTAATGTTTTGTTTACACACTGGAAAATCACAGCCTTTAAAGACTCATTGCCAGTTCATTTACAGTTCCATGGTCAACCTGATTATGCGTCTCACCTATGACTCATCAACAAAGACAGTTATTTATTTTGTTGTGTTTTATAGCTAATCAACACAGAATTATGTAGATTTCATAGAAGATATTTGTCATATAGGATTGGTGGATGAACTGCATGTCATAGTTTACAGTATATACCAATAGATCAAACCATATAACTTTTTACAATTATTATAATTTTGTACCCCTTTTTCGTGATATCCAATTGGTAGTTACAGTCTTGTCGAATCGCAGCAACTCCCATACGGACTCGGGAGAGGCGAAGGTCGAGAGCCATGCGTCCTCCGAAACACAACCCTGCCACACTGCTCGCTTAACCCGGAAGCCAGGCGTAACAATGTGTCAGAGGAAACACCATCCACCTGGCGGCTGAGGTCAGCTTGCAGGCCAAACCCTCCCCTAACCCAGACGACGCTGGGACAATTGTGCGCCGCCTCATGGGTCTCCCGGTCATGGCCTGCTGTGACACAGCCTTTGAATGGATATATATTTTTAAATAGCTATATATATATTGAGGTGAGAGCATTGGAAATGCTTTTGGCGGTTGACCTGCTTCTGTTTTGTGGGTGGCACTGTGTGCTATTTTCGATGGATGGGTCCTGGCCTCTCGGGGGGCCTAGGGATTCGGGGGGACGGGGGTGGTATGCTGAACACTAGGATGACGGCCCAACTTGGGATGGGGAGGGGCTTTAGCAGGGGAATTAGTGGAGTACAATTGGAGGTTTACTTAGTAGCAATGCAAATATCATGGTACAGCTATATTTACATGGCTCCAAGAGAAGGAATATAATATCTATTGTTTACAGGAAACTCATTCAACAATTCTAGATGAAGTTGTGTGGAAAAAGGAATGGAGGGGCGAAATATACTTCTCCCATGGGCAAAGAAACTCAATTAATTAACAGTAATTTCGATCCGAATGTGCAAATTGTCCAAACAGATACGCAAGGTAGATGGATTATTTTAAATATGTTATTGGACCATAAACAGATATGGCTCATTAACCTTTACGGACCAAATAATGATGATCCACACTTCTTTGACAATATATATAATAAATTATCAACTCTGCAAGCAATTCAAGACTCTATTATTATGGTGGGGGATTATAATACTGTTTTAAATAGCTCAATGGACCATAAAGGAAATCACTCTACAAACTATCACCCTCATGCTCTTAAGGAAATGGTGAATGTCATGGATACATTAGAACTAGTAGATATATGGAGGCTTAAATATCCTGATCTAGTGAGATATACACAGCGGAGACTCAATCAAGCTAGTCGTCTTGACTTCTTTTTATGTCATTTTCGTTGGCATCAAAAGTTTAAAAAGTGTTGATAGGGGACAGAATGCGGTCGGACCATCATATAATTGGCATATACATTACTCTTACTGAATTTCCACGTGGGCAAGGATATTGGAAATTTAATCAAAGCCTATTGGATGATAACTTGTTTTAACTAGGACAGAGGAATTTATAACTGATTTTACCCGACATAACATAGGTACAGCAAATCCCCTTATTCTATGGGACACCTTTAAATGTGCCTTTAGAGGCCATGCAATTCAGTACTCATCTCAAAAACAAAATAATAATAAATAATATGCCATTTAGCAGACGCTTTTATCCAAAGCGACTTACAGTCATGCGTGCATACATTTTTTTTTGTGTATGGGTGGTCCCGGGGATCGAACCCACTACCTTGGCGTTACAAGCGCCGTGCTCTACCAGCTGAGCTACAGAGGACCACAAAAGCAATTTAGGTCAAAAATGTAGGTCAAAAGAGTCCACACTAACAAAGGAAATAGAAGGTCTAACAGAACAGATAGATGGCAATAACAACTGTAACATAGAGGCTCAGAATAAATTAGAGGAAAAACAAAAATAAATTGAAAAATTTATTCAAGGAAGATCAAGTGTAATATATTATAAAAAATAAAGAAAACTGGATGGAATATGGGGAAAAATGCACCAAATTCTTTTTTAATCTTCAACATAGGAATGCTACCAAAAATAATTTATTGAAACTGGTTACAAATGACGGAGTCACCCATGATTCACCAAATGATATTTTGAAGGAGGAAACAAAGTACTTTAAACATACGTTTTCGTTTCAGTCGCCTCCATCTCCTCTAACTGAAGCAAATTGTAGAGATTTTTTTTCTATTGATAATGTAAAATTAATAGCCATGCAGAAAGACTCATGTGAAGGTGAAATTACAGAGGAGGAACTTCTGGATGTAATTAAAGACTTTAAGTCCGGGAAAACTCCATGGTTGGATGGCATACCAGTCGAGGTATACCAAACCTTTTTTTATATACTCAGAGGACCATTATTAGCATGTTTTAACCACTCCTATGTAAATGGTAGATTATCAGACACTCAAGAAGAAGATCTGATTTCATTATTACTGAAACAGGATACAAGTGGAAAATATAAAGATCCAGTCCATTTAAAAAATTGGAGGCCCCTTACACTTCAGTGTTGTGATGCAAAAATTCTAGGAAAATGTATAGCGCATAGAATTAAAAAGGTATTGTCGGACATTATTCATTCTAATCAGACAGGTTTTTTACATGGGCGATACATTGGAGATAATATAAGGCAAGTACTGGAAACAATAGAACACTACGGAAAATCAGGGAAACCAGGCATACTATTCATAGCAGACTTCGAAAAGGCATTTGATAAAGTACGACTGGGGTTTATATATAAATGCCTGGGGCATTTCAATTTTGGACAATCTATTATAAATTGGGTTAAAATCATGTACCCTAGGTGTAAAATAGTAAATAATGGCTATTTCTCAGAATGTTTTAAACTGTCAAGAGGAGTGAAACAAGGTTGTCCACTATCGGCATATCTATTTATTATTGCCATCGATTCATGTTTTCTTTTAAATCCACAACTTGAATCCCATAAAGGATCTAGATACATTTTCTAACCTCTCTGGATTACAACCAAATTATGATAAATGTACTATATTACGTATTCGATCACTAAAAAATACAAAAATTACATTACCATGTAGTTTACCAATAAAATGGTCTGATGGTGATGTGGATATACTCGGAATACATATGCCAAATGAAATAAATGATCTCACTCCAATACATTTTAATAGAAAGTTAGCAAAAATGGGTAAGATCTTGCTACCATGGAAATGTAAATACCTGTCAATTTGTGGAAAAATCCCCCTGATTAACTCTTTAGTATTATACCAGTTTACCTATTTGCTTATGGTCTTGCCTACGCCTAGCGAACAGTTTTTTTAATTATATGAGAAAAAAATATTCCATTTTATTAGGAACGGCAAGCCAGACAAAATTAAACGGGCCTATTTATATAATGAATATGAATTCGGAGGACAGAAATTATTAAATATTAAAGCATTAGACCTATCACTAAAAGCTTCACTCATACAAAAGTTATACTTAAATCCAAACTGGTTCTCTAGCAAATTTGTAAGATTGTCTCACCCAATGTTCAAGAATGGCCTTTTTCCCTTTATTCAGATTACAACCTCTCACTTTAAGTTATTTGAAAAGGAAATAATCTCCCAAATATCACTATTTCTAAAACAAGCCATAGAAAGTTGGTTGCAATTTCAATTTAATCCTCCAGAAACAACAGAACAAATAATGCAACAAATATTGTGGTTAAACTCAAATATACCAATTGATAAAAAACCATGTTCTTTTGAAAAATGTTTAAAAAAGGTATAATCTTCGTAAATTATATTATCGCTGGGACTGGTGGAATTATGTTGCACATGCAGCTAACAAAAACATATGGAAATGTCTTCTCTACCCAAAATTACAACCAAATAATTGCAGCATTACCGCAAAAATGGAAAAGGAAAGTGGAAGGGGGAAAAAGTATGGAACTTGTCTGTCGGCCTTGCATTAAAGAATATAATTGTGATAAATAAAAAAGTATACCAGTTTCATTTAAGGACCAAAGGATTGACAGCCATCCCAAAATAGTTGGGAAGAGATTTTTGACGTACCGATTCCATGGCATAGTGTTTATGAATTGATACGCAAAACGACGCCGGATTCAAAACGTATCATTTTTCTATTTAAATTATTATATAACATTCTTGCTACCAATAGAATGTTATTTATATGGGGGATACAATCTTCCCAGCTCTGCAGATTTTGCTGCGAAGAGACAGAATCATTAGATCATTTGTTTTGGTACTGTCCATTTGTAGCTTGTTTTTGGACACAGGTCCAGTAATAGCTAAAGGACTGCAATATTTACCTGGAGCTAACCCTGCAGATAGCACTACTGGGTGATCTGAAAAGTCATAGTCAATCAATCAATAATATAATAATACTTTTAGCAAAAATGTTTATATTCAATTTACGATCTGTAGAAACAATGAGAATAGAAAGGGTCAGAACTTTTGTAAAACATCACAGTACAGTTGAAAAATATATGGCAAATAGAAATACAATATGGATGGTGTTAAGAGATAGATGGGAGGTGTTGAATGGAGCTGAAGGATGGGACTAATAACAACAACTAATAACAACAAGATAACTTGTTATGTAAAGCATACTGTGTCCATAATAAGTATATAGGTTATAGGTTGAGAGCTTTTGTTAGAAAAATATGGCATATAGAAGCAAAAAACATATGGGGGATTGGAAGTGATGCAGACAATTACATTGATGGAAGTCCCGTGTAGCTCAGCTGGTAGAGCATGGCGTTTGCAACGCCAGGGTTGTGGGTTTGTTTCCCACGGGGGACCAGTATGAAAACAAATGTATGCACTAACTGTAAGTCGCTCTGGATAAGAGTGTCTGCTAAATGACTAAAAAAAGTTACAATCTATCTGAAATGTTAAAGCTGATCTACCCCCTAAAAAAAACACAATGTGCTTCTATATTCTGTTATCAAGCCATATTGTAAGAAACTATATGTTTCCTATAGGCTGTAAGCAAACCATGTATGGTCCGATAACATTGTCTCTCTCTCTCTTTCTGGCAGTAACCGTGGTGATGATGAACAGTGTTTTTATATAGACAATATGCTGCGCAATGCTAGCAGCACTTTAAACAGAAATAGCTACTGGAGACGTAAGAGGGTCAGGGCCATTTTCCTACTGAAATGGTAGTGACCCTTATCTCCTCAACTGGCTATCACAAAGACTAGCCCTCTGGCTCATTGATGAACCATGCAGCTAGCCCAATACTTCTTCATGGAAAATATTATTCTATTCATTCCCTTGGGTGGGTTGTGTGTTTGTGTGTGTGTGTGCGTAAGCATGCACATTATATCTGTAGATGTGAGGTTGAACTCAGTTATTTTAACATGCAATGATGGGGAGACTTTCTACAGACACTGAGACCTCCTAAGGTTATCCCTCATAGGCTTAGTGGTCCAGAGAAATGGACTGGCCATAATGCCAGTTCATTATTATTTTTTTTGCGAATAATGATCATTATTTGGCTAATAATGAAGAAATGCTGGACCGACATCTGGTCCCGGTCCGTTCATGAGAGAACCTTCTAGACCTCATTATCGTGTGATGCCTACAATGTTAAAACAGTGAAAAATATTTACACATAAACATTTATTTTCACTGACAAATCACATCAATAAAAGGCCATATGACTTTGAAAATGCAACATTGTTTAACCGGGTTCATAAAAAACATGAATTTTTTTACATTGTCTGCAGTAGGGTAGAGAAGCCGTGTCTGGGGTGGGATAAAGCTTAGTAGTTAACTGTGCTGGGCTGGGCTGTGAGTTCAGACTGAGGTTACTGTACTCTGCCAGGCTGGTTGACAGAGGAAAGACAGGAAAGGATTACTGTTCTCTAGTCAACCAAAATGGTGGAGAGAAGGTGGAAGTAATCTGTCGTGTCTACTAACTGCCTGTGTGTTCCTACACATGTCAAAACATGCCTTGAGTAAGTACAGTGGGGCTGGCCTTTTTTCGCGATGTCACACACAGATCGACACACACACACAGACGCGCACACACACCCCTGCTGTTACACACACACCTTCAATCTCAGCAGCTTAATAGGGCACACACACTTCGAGTTAGGGCCTTCACACCCCAACACTTACACACTGACTTCAAGACCAACACACGATCACTCACCCATAGACTCAGCCCCCTAACACTGACTTCCAGACCAACACACGATCACTCACCCATAGACTCAGCCCCCTAACACTGACTTCAAGACCAACACACGATCACTCACCCATAGACTCAGCCCGCTAACACTGACTTCCAGACCAACACATGATCACTCACCCATAGACTCAGCCCCCCCCCCCACTCTCTCGCTCTCTCTCCATCTGCCTCTATCCCTCTGCCTCTCTCTCTCTCTCTCTCTCTCTATCTCTCTGCCTCTCTCTCTTTCTCTATCCCTCTCTCTCTCTCTCTCTCTCTCTCTCTCTCTCTCTCTCTCTCTCTCTCTCTCTCTCTCTCTCTCTCTCTCTTTCTCTCTCTCTCTCCCTCTTGTCTCTCTCCCTCACTGACTCAGTCTCTGGTCCATTATCTAATTTCATAAGTCCCAGTCACCCACTCACTGATGAAGTCCCACAATGTCAGGCCCCTCTTACAGTATCCCACCTAGGCTAATGGCCCATGGCCCCATTCATAGGCCCCGAACCACTAGTTTCTCCCCTTCCTGGACCCATGCCTCCCAGACAGGCAGAGAAAGGCCTCCCGATGCCTCCCAGAGCTAGAGAGAGGATCACTATGAGCACATTGAGCATATCATTTACACCCCAGCAGCTCCACAGCACACTCTGCCATCACTTCTGCATCGCTCGGCAAATGCCTGCAATTGAGCACAACTAATGTGTTTTGGGCCATTGGCATGAAAATGGCCGCCATCCATTGGATTAGCCATTCAGATGAGCTGCCAGACGGCCAATGAGTTTAGACCAGAGGGACCTGATGGGGAATGACACTTTTTAGGGCAGTGGTCTAGGATGGGGCAATAAAACAGCTCTTTGCCATTTGTCCTCCTGAATATCAGTTTGAGAGGTGACTGAGACCATAGAAATAGAATGAGACACTCAAAATGTCCACCAGTCTACCCATGATGGCATCATTGACTTGAATGGGGAGGCCTGTTCTATTCATTCTAGCTCTGTGATTGTGACATCCTGGCTAAACATGTGATAGTCTAGCCCCTAGCCTATTGATAACCGAGCTACACAGCTCTATTGCAGATTTTATTGGTAGTCTATTGTTATGTCCAGTCTATGGCACAGTAAGTAAATGTGAGCTGAGGCTACGTTCAAGCTCCTTTTTGATTTCAATTCCCCGTTCAAGGTCTGGCTTTGCTATTTCTATGGTCTCAAACTCAACAGGTGTGTTTTTGCAGTGAACAAATGAGCACCCAGTGGATTATTACTTGGTGGATTATAAATCAAAAGTGACCTTACCTCTTATCCATTACTCCTAATGTTACCCTTACTTTTATACAGTGCCCTCTCTCTCTCTCTCTCTCCTCTCTCTCTCTCTCTCTCTCTCTCTCTCTCTCTCTCTCTCTCTCTCTCTCTCTCTCTCTCTCTCTCTCTCTCTCTCTCTCTCTCTCCCCCTCTCTCTCTCTCTCTCTCTCTCTCTCTCTCTTTCTCTCTCTCTTTCTCTCTCTTTTTCTCTCTCTCTCTCTCTCTCTCTCTCTCTCTCTCTCCCTCTTTCAATTCAATTTAAGGCCTTCATTGGCATGGGAAACATATGTTAACATTGCCAAAGCAAGTGAAATAGATAATAAACAAAAATGAAATAAACAATTTAGAAAAATTAACAGTAAACATTACACTCACAAAAGTTCCAAAAGAATAAAGACATTTCAAATGTCATAATATGTCCAAATAGTACAAAAGGGAAAATAAATAAACATAAATATGGGTTGTATTTACAATGGTGTTTGTTCTTCACTGGTTGCCCTTTTTTTTGTGGCAACAGAACCTCCTCTCGCTCTCTTTCCAGGGCTCACTTGAAAATAATCTCTCCATTTCTCTCTCTCTCCCCCCAGCTATCAGCTGTGGACACCCGGGCAGCCCTATCTACGGGCGGACCATCGGTAACGGCTTCAATCTGAATGACGTGGTGAGCTTCTCCTGCAACACGGGCTACGTGATGGAGGGGCCCTCGAGGGCCCAGTGCCAGGCCACGCGCCAGTGGAGCCAGCCACCACCAACGTGTAAAGGTGGGGAAAAAAGTTAAGTCTTCTATTCACACGTAGTACGCTTGCTCATTCCGCCTGACCACTGCAGTGCACTCTGAGTAAGATGGGGAGGAAGGAGGAATCTTGGCTTGTAGTGGGATTGTAACCAATCATGTAGGAGCACCACATCAGGACAATGGCCTCTGTGTAGGGTGAATGGTTGCTCTGTGTTTCTGTGTGAATTGTGGTTGTGGTGAATTAGGGTCATAGCCAACACGGCCTCTTGAACATCAGTAGATATGATTGTGGTGGTATGACTGACCACTTTAGGATTTATTCATAGTTGTGTTGACCCATTGCATGACACTGATTTTGCGACCTTGGGTTTGTTGTGTTATAAATGTATAATATAATACTAAAGGGCTGTGAGGGGGTGTGGGGTGATTATCTGAAAACCATCTGATGGAGCTTATGGCAGTTCCATTATATAGGAGTCTTCCCCTGAGGTAACCAGAGGCTAAGTCCAGGGTCAGGCTGCTATTGGACAAGCCCTGAGGTAACCAGATGCTAAGTCCATGGTCAGACTGCTATTGGACAAGCCCTGAGGTAACCAGAGGCTAAGTCCAGGGTCAGACTGCTATTGGACAAGCCCTGAGGTAACCAGAGGCTAAGTCCATGGTCAGACTGCTATTGGACAAGCCCTGAGGTAACCAGAGGCTAAGTCCAGGGTCAGACTGCTATTGGACAAGCCCTGAGGTAACCAGAGGCTAAGTCCAGGGTCAGACTGCTATTGGACAAGCCCTGAGGTAACCAGAGGCTAGGTCCAGGGTCAGACTGCTATTGGACAAGCCCTGAGGTAACCAGAGGCTAAGTCCAGGGTCAGACTGCTATTGGACAAGCCCTGAGGTAACCAGAGGCTAAGTCCAGGGTCAGACTGCTATTGGACAAGCCCTGAGGTAACCAGAGGCTAAGTCCAGGGTCAGACTGCTATTGGACAAGCCCTGAGGTAACCAGAGGCTAAGTCCAGGGTCATATCTGATTGGACTACTGTGGCGAGAGGAAATAAAACGCCCACGCTGTGTTGTCCTTTGTTGACACCAGTAAATCAATCTTGCAGGTTCTTGAAATTCATAATAAGCCATTGAGATGCACACACTTATCTATTTTTTATACTGTAATTTTGTATTATCATTTACTTGACAATGGTGTGGATCATGCATTAAGATCAATGGAAGATTGGCGCGAAAATGCCGTTTAATGTTTGGATTTGGCCCTATATGAGTGACTGCAGAGGGTCAAGCGTGTCCTAAGTGTTGGAATGAATTGATCCCTTCCATGTTTCTGCCAAATAACACATGCTTGTCTTCTTTCCCTTTTCTCTCTACCTCTTCAGTGGTCAACTGCTCCGATCCTGGGATCCCAGCCAACTCCATCAGACAGAGTAAGATAGAACACGGGAACTTCACCTTTGGAACCGTGGTGTTCTACGACTGCAGCCCGGGGTTCTACCTGTTCGGTTCTCCCGTTCTCACCTGTCAGCCCACAGGACAGTGGGACAAGCCTCTACCGGAGTGTATTGGTGAGTCTGGTGTCACTGTATGTGGTCGAAACAGGCTAAGTAATGTGCACACTGCAATATGTGCTTGCATGTGGTATATTGGAGAAGTTTCGACGGTTGAAACATTGTCACCAATAAACCAAAGAGTTAACCACAGATTGCAGTGTGCGGAGTCTCTTTTTACCATTCACTGAACATATTTTGATATCCAGCACCTGCTCAAAGACATTGGTGGTGCGTATCTAAAGTAATCTGTTCCTATAATTTGTTGTCGCTGTCTCACAGACTGTCTGTCTTTCCCGGAGAGAGACTGCCGATTTAGCAACTTGGCACTCGTGACTAATTAGCATATTATTCCTTTAATTGAGGCTGAATGAGTTGCGTGACCCCCCGCTGTTTAAGATCAGTGTTCTAATTGAGGGACAGGTGGAACAGCTCTGTGGATGTTACACAAATTAGGGATGCCAGGTTGGCAGCTGATCTCTATGTTTTATGGTGTGTGTCTTCAACATCCTCCTCAAAACAAGCTGCATCTGACACCAGCTGTACTGGCAACCTGGCATGTCTAAACAGCTAGTTTAAACACAGGGCTTCAAGGCTTCCTACTGGCTGTCTCAGTGTTCCAAACACAACCTGAGGCTCCTACTGGCTGAAGGGCATAGCTGTGTGCTCAAATCAGAGCCCTCGCTTTGAAATTTGAACCCAATCCCAACCTTATTCAACTTTGATGTGTAGCCTACTGTTTTACCTTAAACCTTATTATAGGTTAGCTCTACTAAGGCCCAATCAGTTTGGTGTTCCTGTTGCGATGTGTTTAAAAAATGATGAAAAAACCCTCGGCAGGATTAATGAACGTGCTCTTTCTCCCTCCATTCCTTGTTCCCTGTTTGATCTACCCCACTGCGACATCCACACCCTGTCCAAAACGTTCTTCTCATTTAGACACGCCTCGTCCTTTCTGCTGAATCGGCATGTTAATACCGGACCTGCTCACTTTTTATAGGCCAGTAGCAGACAAAAGAGGAGAAAGTATAAAGTAAACTTGCTGATTATAGCACATTGTGGGGTGAATATTTGAAAAAAGAATGTGATTATTTTAGCACCCTGGCCTTGATAATTTACAAAGTGAAAAATGGATCAAGAATGATTACAAAGGATGAGGACGGTACCGTCTACTTTGGAACGTTGCCAATATGAGCTTAAGTGCTAGTACTGTATTTTTATAATAGTGAAGCTAGTACAGTGGTCTTATTCTATGAGCAGGGGTACTGGACATTTTAGACGGTTTTCCCGGACACAGATTAAACCTAGTCCTGGACTTAAAAGCACTTTTTGTAGTCCAGGACTAGGCTTAACCTGCGTCCGGGAAACTGGCCTATAGTGTTTATTCTAAGTAGTTTGTTTGATACAGTATTCCCCTCTACGAGGAGAAGTAGGCTAGAACAGTGTTCAAACTATATGCACTATATAGTGAATAGGGTGCCATTTGGGACGCAGACGCAGTGTGTGGCCTCAATCCTCTAGAGAGGGACGACAGTACCTTCCACTACATTATCCCTGTCAGCACTCTGAGCTGACAGCATCCATCTTGTGTGTGTCTCTCTCCTGAAGTGGTGGACTGTGGTCACCCCGGGTCCCCTCCCAACGGCCAACTGAGCGGGGATAAATTCACCTTCGGCTCTACGGTTCGCTACACCTGCACAGGGGGACGCCAGCTGAAGGGCGAGTCGGCACGCACCTGCCAGCTCAACGGCCACTGGAGCGCACCCATGCCCTTCTGCGCAGGTAAATTCTTTACATACAGTGGGGTTTGTGAGTGGGTGGGGGGCGGCTGTGTGTTTGGGACACAGGTTGTCCAAGGTAACAATGACTAAGTAAACTTAAGTTATGCTCCATATGACGATTTCAAGGCTTGGATTTTCAGGTCAGCGTTGTCACGGTGACGAAGCTCAAACGTTCAAGTCTACATTTAGTAGCTTTTGGCCTTACTTTTGATAAGACCTTTTTTGTACACGCATACGCACATGGCAAGAGCTAAAAGCGGATGGAGACAAAGAGAGAGAAGGTCATATCAAGGACCACAAAATAATAACTGAAGAAGTATAAAGATAGCTCATAATAGTGGGGGAGGATTTAAAAGTGGTGGTGGAGCAACACATTGGTTCCAGCAGAACAGAAGAAACAAGAGGCATTGACTAACATGTGGGCAGGAGTGTTCACCCTCTTCACCCTAGCGTGGGTGTTGTGCCTGCAGCACTGACATCACCACAACCACATACACGGCACAACACAACCACAGCTAGCTAGATTAGCCACAACTGCCCTTTCTTCACAACACAATGTCCATCTCTCTCACTCTCGCTCTTTCTTTCTCTCTCTCTCTCTCTCTCTCCTTTCCTCTGCTCTTTTTCTACTCCTCTCCCTACCCCTCTCTCCCTCCTCCTCTCTCTCTCTCTCACACTTAGTTACCACGCATTCCTTCCGCCCAAGAAATAGCTTATTTCTCCTTCTTCTTCTTCCTATTCTTCCACTCAATATGTAAAGTACTGTAGCTAAATAGATACATTATAATGTGGTGCAATGTGCATGGAAATCGTTATCTAACTACATTTAATGAAAGATTACAATGACCCCATCAGGATGGGGGATGGTGGGAAAATACATTTGCAGCTAAAGTAATTTTTTCAGCGGTAGAAGGATGTCATTCCCTGGATAATGAGGGCCTCTTTATTTCCTCTCTTGCGGAAGTTGGGTCTGCATCCCAAATGGCACCCTATTTACTGTATAGAGCACTACTTTTAATCAGAACCCCATTGGTCTCTGGTCAAAAGGAGTGCGCTATAAACGGAATAGGGTGCCATTTTGGATGCAGCCGGGCGGTCTTTGGACATGTAATTGATCTGTGGGAACTACTGAGTTGGTGGTTCGTTTGCTGTCCCTCTTTATTGAGATTATATGCCATCTGCTTTGCCCTACGGCAGACTGCAGAGGAATCATCTCACCCTCATCTCCTCTGGGAGTGTCGCTCGTCCTCTCGTCCTGTCTATCTCTCTCTTGCTCTCTCTTTCTTTCTTTCTTGTCTGGTTGATTATTCACTAAAGTGAGTCATTGGCCAAGAGAAAACACTTGAGACAGTTGAAAGAGAATAGAGAGACACAGGTACTTACCTTTTAATACAGAAGATGGTTATTGAGTGAAGAAGTCTAAAAGAGTTTTGAATCCAACATCACATGAAGTATAAATCACTGACACAAGATCAATTTCCCTGTAGGAGGTCTCTTCCATCCATTTCTTTACTTAAAGACTTGTGTTGCCCTTGTGGCACTTGTATACACCCTGCCTTATCCTGTTAGTGAGTCCACCTGAACTGGGCGTAGTTTAAAGAGTTTAGCAGTGTGTAAACCTCCCCTAGCTAACCCTGTTATTGAGAAGTGTGAAGAGTTCAGCAGTGTGTAAACCTCCCCTAGCTAACCCTGTTATTGAGTAGTGTGAAGAGTTCAGCAGTGTGTAAACCTCCCCTAGCTAACCCTGTTATTGAGTAGTGTGAAGAGTTTAGCAGTGTGTAAACCTCCCCTAGCTAACCCTGTTATTGAGTAGTGTGAAGAGTTCAGCAGTGTGTAAACCTCCCCTAGCTAACCTTGTTATTGAGAAGTGTGAAGAGTTCAGCAGTGTGTAAACCTCCCCTAGCTAACCCTGTTATTGAGTAGTGTGAAGAGTTTAGCAGTGTGTAAACCTCCCCTAGCTAACCCTGTTATTGAGAAGTGTGAAGAGTTCAGCAGTGTGTAAACCTCCCCTAGCTAACCCTGTTATTGAGAAGTGTGAAGAGTTCAGCAGTGTGTAAACCTCCCCTAGCTAACCCTGTTATTGAGAAGTGTGAAGGGTTTAGCAGTGTGTAAACCTCCCCTAGCTAACCCTGTTATTGAGTAGTGTGAAGAGTTCAGCAGTGTGCGCAGCGGGCCTAAAGCGGACTATGCTGATGTGAGATATATGAACACAAGCTGACAGTCTAACTGAGAGTGATGTGAACGTATGGGTAGGAGATATAGAAAAGTTATCTCTGTCTGTATTTATATACATACTGAACAAAAATATAAATGCAACATTCAACAATTTCAACGATTTTGCTTTTACAGCTCATATAAGGAAATCAGTCAATTGAAATAAATAAATTAGGCTCTAATCTATGGATTTCACATGACTGGGCAGGGGCGCAGCCATGGGTGGGCCTGGGAGGGCATAGGCCCACCCACTGGGGAGTCATGCCCAGCCAATCAGAATGAGTTTTCCCCACAAAAGGGCTTTATTACAGACAGAAATACTCCTCAGAAATAGCCCCCCCCCCCTCCCTCAGATGATCCCGCAGGTGTAGAAGCCGGATGTGGAGGTCCTGGGATGGGGTTGCGAGGCCGGTTCGACGTACTGCCAAATTCTCTAAAATGACATTGGGGGAGGCTTATGGTAGAGAAATGAACATTAAATTCTCTGCCAACAGCTCTGGTGGACATTCCTGCAGTCAGCATGCCAATTGCATGCTCCCTCCAAACTTGAAACATCTGTGGCATTGTGTTGTGTGACAAATCTGCGCATTTTAGAGGGACCTACATCCCTGTTTAATCAGCTCCTTGATATGCCACACCTGTCAGGTGGATGGATTATCTTGACAAATTATAAAATGCTCACTAACAGGGATGTAAACAAATATGTGCACAAAATTTAAGAGAAATAAAAAAAAATGCGTATGGAACATTTCTGGGATCTTGAATTTCAGCTCATGAAACATGAGACTAACACTATACATGTTGCGTTTATATTTTTGTTCAGTATATACAATATATATATACTGTATATATTCCTGACTTACGTTGCTCGTTCTGATATTGCTCATTCTGATATTTCTTTTAGTTATTTATTATTTATTATTTTGATTACAGAGCAGATTTATTCCCCTACTTCTCCCTCTCTCAACAGCTCACTTAAAGGGATAGTTTTCCCATAATTACAAAATGACACATTGGTTTCCTTTCCCTGTAAGCAGTCTATGGACAAGGTATGACCGCAATCCATGCTTTGGTTTAATTTCCCTGTTTCTTTCCCCACATGCTAACGTTTTAGCATTTGTGGCACAAATCCCATTCAAGTCATGGGACCGATATTGCAATTTTTCGAACATCATGTTCAAAACATAAGTGACTTTGTTGAGCTTCACAATCAGTTTTAGATACTTTCGGATGATTTGGACATGATGCACGGAAAATGCTAATAACGGTCCCATGACTTGAATGCTGTCCTACCTTATCCATAGACTGCTTACAGGGTCAGGAGACCAATGTGTCATTTTGTCATTTGTGTGAACTATCCCTTTAAACATGGTTAGTAATTTTAGGATCCATGCTAGACAACAATTCTGTTGAGATAAACTTTACTATTTATCTTAATGCTTCATTTACTTTGTGTGAGTGTGTCTCTTTGGGGAAACGTACTATCAAATCAATATAAATACATGAATCTTTAAAGCCCTTTATGAAGTATCAGCATGTATATGTCATGACGTTATGAGTATACTTAGCTACAATTAGCTGTTTTATTTGCAGTATGATGATGACTTGAGTTTTGCATATGTTCAGTCTTCTAAATTAGGCTAAATGACGTGTCTGTCTGTCTGTGTTTGGGGGTTTCTCTGTTTTGGGCACAAGTCGTTTTCAACACAGATGGTGCTTGCTAATCACTTGGGGTGTGGGGTGTGCTCGTTGAGGGGTGGTCTGAAACACTTTGTGTTTTCCCTCCAAGCTCTTCTCTTCTTCAGGCTAATCAGTCCTGCCCTATTTCCAGCGCTCTCCTCTCCTCCGCCCCCTCTACTCCCATGTGGCTCCTCTCCTCCTCTCCTGTCCTGTCTCTCTCTATCTCTCAACTGCCAGTCTCTCTCTGATTCCTTTTCCATTTGTATCATGTTGCCAGTACTCTGAGCTCCTGCAGACTTAGTGATGCACAGAGAGCACCTTCATGCACACACATAATCTCTTTCCAACACTAAACACACACACACACACTCACACACACACACACACACACACACACACACACACACACACACACACACACACAGCCTTACCTGCTCTAGGTCTCTGTTCATCCATTAAACCTTCATTAAGTGTCCGTGACCCATAAAATAAAAATGCAGACACCAGCTCCTCCCCATCCCCCTGGACAGTGTATGGTGCCTGTTCAATTCTGAGAGCCCTGACCCAGAAAAAGACACAGCCAGAGAAATGGAAAGCCATGAGTTGCAAATGGGAATATTGTTCTCTCTCTCTCTTTCTCTCCCTCTCTTTCTCCTCCATCACCTCTCTCTCCTCTCTCTCTCTCTCTCTCTCTCCTCTCTCTCTCTCTCTCTCTCTCTCTCTCTCTCTCTCTCTCTCACCATTGTTGTCATTACTGAAGCATTATGATTTTCCTGGCACTGAATCAGAGCCCTATAGTTTGCTTTGCCGTCCAGTGAGTGGCAGGATCCTAAGCCCCAGCAACAGAAGCCTTCTTTAGGGAAAGGCTTTAGATCAAATGAGGACTTGTGTCTGTGTGTCTGTGTGTGTCTGTGTGTCTGTGTATGTGTGTGTGTTCGCGCTTCTATAGTGTCCAAGTGGGCTGACAAACTGATGTGACTGCTCCCCTCCATAGATGGGCCAGGGTAAAGTGTGCTACCCCCAGTGGAGGAAATAAGTCACATTGCACTACCCCCCAGTGGAGGAAATAAGTCACATTCCACTACCCCCCCAGTGAAGGAAGAAGGAAATAAGTCACAGTGCACTACCCCCCAGTGGAGGAAATAAGTAACAGTGCACTACCCCCCAGTGGAAGAAATAAGTCACAGTCCACTATGCCCCAGTGGAGGAAATAAGTCACAGTGCACTACCCCCCAGTGGAGGAAATAAGTCACAGTGCACTACCCCCCAGTGGAAGAAATAAGTCACAGTGCACTACCCCCCCAGTGGAGGAAATAAGTCACAGTGCACTACCCCCCAGTGGAAGAAATAAGTCACAGTCCACTACCCCCCAGTGGAGGAAATAAGTAACAGTGCACTACCCCCCAGTGGAATAAATAAGTCACAGTCCACTACCCCCCAGTGGAGGAAATAAGTAACAGTGCACTACCCCCCAGTGGAGGAAATAAGTCACAGTGCACTACCCCCCAGTGGAAGAAATAAGTCACAGTGCACTACCCCCCCAGTGGAGGAAATAAGTCACAGTGCACTACCCCCCAGTGGAAGAAATAAGTCACAGTCCACTACCCCCCAGTGGAGGAAATAAGTAACAGTGCACTACCCCCCAGTGGAAGAAATAAGTCACAGTGCACTACCCCCCCCCAGTGGAGGAAATAAGTCACAGTGTACTACCCACCACCGTCACAAGACCATATCCCTCCTCCTAACCAGTGGACAATGAATAAACCGTACGCTGTTAAAATGAAGTGCTTTGTAACACCAAAACTAGTGGCAACTGAGCTGCCACCAACTTGAAGAAGACAAAACCTTAACTTTGCTGGAGTATTGAAACACATCATCCTGAGATGTTTTGAAACATTACATGGTGTGTTGCAACATTTCTTAATCAAGTGTTGTGCAACACCTTGCCAGGGACTGGGAGCAATATTAGAAAAGGTTGAAAACACTATTTTGGTGTTTTGAGTCTTGTTTAGTACAGAATTAGATGTATTTGATAATTTGCCATTTTATACTGTTTTGGCAGGCATTGCCAAAAGCACAGTGTTCAAACTACCAGCACTAACTGGAGGTTGAACTGCAAGAACTGAAGATTTTGTACTTGCCTCTTCCATTGATAATCATGAATGTGGGAATGGGTGCTGTCCTCATTGAACGTCAATTTGCCTGACGGTTTTGATATCGGTTCACCATTACACCTTATGACACAACAAGCTTAATACTAATGTAGAAATATACTTTTCTTTCTTCAGCCATGCATACAACATTATGTGAAATAATGAATTACCCACAATCCTCTAAAAACAGAGTCACGTGGCAAGATAGGAAAAGCAAGGTGATTAGAATCAAAGACTTCCAACGAGCTCAATCACTCTATTGTCTCTCTTTGTTTATCCTCATGAAAGAATTTACATTTTGAGCAACATATTAAAGTTGCACTATGCAGAAATCGCACTGCCATTTCCTGGTTGCTAAAATTCTATTAGTTCTCCTAATTTCAGTGTATGTGACAAAACAAGGAAGTATAGTGTGGAGAATCATTGTACCATCTAAACCACTGTGAAATATATTTTCCATAACCAAAAATATTGTATTTTCAGCTGTTTGAAGCTGGTGTATAAAACCGAAAGTAAAAGAGCAAAAACTAAACTTAACAACTGGAAGCAGAGAATTAGCGCACATAGAACAGATCTACCCCTTCTTAGTCTTGCTTCCAATGAGAATGACAGATCTATAACTCACATTTCTATGTGAATTTGGTCGGTCGCCTATAAAGTTACATATTGCAGCTTTCAGTTGGATTTACATTATTTTGGCAAAATGAAATTAACAAATCATTGAAACCACTTGCATATATTTAAAAAATATCAATTTTTGAGGTATTTTGACACTTTATTGAGACTGTTATGAAATGACAGAGGGATTACAGATAGTTGGGAGAAACAGATTGAAGGGGTTGGAGCGGGGAATTTAACCCCGGTCTTCGGTGGGTAGAGGGGTGACCTGTCTAAGTTGGGTGTGTTACCACTAGACCACGGGCTCTGCATGACTTGCATTCATTTTTATTAAGTATATGTTGGTTGTTTTTTGAGTCAATTTCAATTCACCCCAGAATAAATTCTTACAGTGTGGCTGTGTGGTTGAGTGGGTAGAATTTCAACGAAATGTAACATCTTACTTGACCCTCCTTTCTAAACTGTCAAAATATTCTCCATAGGCCCTTATCATTAATATTTAGGCTATAAACTATTTGTATTTCTAAACCATTGGTTGATTGTATGAGAAACACAGTTTTTGTGTTTTGATTCTGCCTTTTACATACACTGAAACCCCAAAGTGTTTTCACTACGCTCTCTTAAAAACACCAATATTCAGGTTGAAGAACCAATATGGGTGTTTCAGAGTACTACAGTGAGGGAAAAAAGTATTTGATCCCCTGCTGATTTTGTGCGTTTGCCCACTGACAAAGAAATGATCAGTCAATAATTTTAATGGTAGGTTTATTTGAACAGTGAGAGACAGAATAACAACAAAAAAATCCAGAAAAACGCATGTAAAAAATATTATGAATTGATTTACATTTTAATGAGGGAAATAAGTATTTGACCCCCTCTCAATCAGAAAGATTTCTGGCTCCCAGGTGTCTTTTATACAGGTAACAAGCTGAGATTCAATCAATCAATCAGATTCCAAACTCTCCACCATGGCCAAGACCAAAGAGCTCTCCAAGGATGTCATGGACAAGATTGTAGACATACACAAGGCAGGAATGGGCCACAAGACCATCGCCAAGCAGCTTGGTGAGAAGGTGACAACAGTTGGTGCGATTATTCGCAAATAGAAGAAACACAAAAGAACTGTCAATCTCCCTCGGCCTGGGGCTCCATGCAAGATCTCACCTCGTGGAGTTGCAATGATCATGAGAACAGTGAGGAATCAGCCCAGAACTACACGGGAGGATCTTGTCAATGATCTCAAGGCAGCTGGGACCATAGTCACCAAGAAAACAATTGGTAACATACTATGCCGTGAAGGACTGAAATCCTGCAGCGCCCGCACGGTCCCCCTGCTCAAGAAAGCACATATACAGGGCCGTCTGAAGTTTGCCAATGAACATCTGAATGATTCAGAGGAGAACTGGGTGAAAGTGTTGTGGTCAGATTAAACCAAAATAGAGCTCTTTGGCATCAACTCAACTCGCCGTGTTTGGAGGAGGAGGAATGCTGCCTATGACCCCAAGAACACCATCCCCACCATCAAACATGGAGGTGGAAACATTATGCTTTGGGGGTGTTTTTCTGCTAAGGGGACAGGACAACTTCACCGCATCAAAGGGACGATGGACAGGGCCATGTACCGTCAAATCTTGGGTGAGAACCTCCTTCCCACAGCCAGGGCATTGAAAATGGGTCGTGGATGGGTATTCCAGCATGACAATGACCCAAAACACACGGCCAAGTCCACAAAGGAGTGGCTCAAGAAGAAGCACATTAAGGTCCTGGAGTGGCCTAGCCAGTCTCCAGACCGTAATCCCATAGAAAATCTGTGGAGGGAGCTGAAGGTTTGAGTTGCCAAACGTCAGCCTCGAAACCTTAATGACTTGGAGAAGATCTGCAAAGAGGAGTGGGACAAAATCCCTCCTGAGATTTGTGCAAACCTGGTGGCCAACTACAAGAAACGTCTGACCTCTTTGATTGCCAACAATTACTAAGTCATGTTTTGCAGAGAGGTCAAATACTTATTTCCCTCATTAAAATGCAAATCTATTGATAAAAATTTTGACATGCGTTTTTCTGGATTTTGTTGTTGTTATTCTGTCTCTCACTGTTCAAATCAGCAGGGGATCAAATACTTTTTTCCCTCACTGTACATCTCTGTTTTAAAACACATTCTGTGTATTAAAACACTTACATTGGGTTTATATTAAAACACCCGCCAAACACCAGATCTCAGTTTAAGTGAACTACTTTTCATGGTTTCATTACACAATAATGGTGTTTTGAGACTTACAGTGTATCACTCCTCCTAACCAATGGATAATGGAAGTAGAGCCCTTCCCTGTACTCCCAAGCATCCAGTGCTGTAATTAGCAATACCCCCTGTCCAATAGCCAGACCCCCTGTCCATTAGTGACTGAGTCAGTGAGCGTGGTTTCTGATAGCCAGCTGGTGTTGTAAGTGTAGTGGTGGATTACCACTCCAGGTTAATACCTGTACTTCCTGTGTCCCAATGAGTCGGGGGTGCTTGTGAAACATTGGTGATACAGTATGCTATCATGTGGAGGGGAGGCTCTGTCTTTTCCCATGTTGGCTGACCAAGCTTTCTTTTAGAATAAAGAACATAGTTATTTTGAGAGACCAATCCATTCTAGAGAGTAGCATTTCATTCCCCCTTTGCCTGTACTGGCGGCATAGAGCTGGAGCTGCTTATGAAGCGACTACAGAAGAAGTGCTCTGTTTGAGATTAGAGCTCACTCAGGAAGTTCTGTGAAGAATATGAAGTCACAGGCTCCTTAGTGACATAACATCAGGGAGATGACCTTTTACCTCGCCTATTCCATTTTTCACCTCCCTCTATTCCTGTTTTGTGTATGGCTCAGTTGGTAGAGCATGGCACATGCAACGTCATGATTGTGTGTTCAATTCCTGGGACCACCCATACAAAAAAGAATGATGCACACATGACTGTAAGTCACTTTGGATAAAAGTGTCTGCTAAATGGCATATATATTCCCTCTTAACTCCCCAGTGTGTCCATTCTTATACTCTGTGTGAGACATGTGGGGTAGGGAGAACAGGGAGGAGGAGCAGTTGAGGACCTGTGTTGTGTTTGTGTCTTTCTGCTAACTGTCTAGAGCTGTTGCTGTGTATCACTGTGTGTGACAGCCAGCCCTAGACCGCCGCGATCGAGGCGGCGGAGCGCGAAGAGCTCGAACAGCG